TCAAAATCTTCATTGTGCCCTTGTCAGCTCAAGAATTTCCCAACGAAATGTTAAATTTTTCATATCTGAATTTTTGGCTTTTGCCGCTCAAACCGCTCTACATCCCAAGATAAGATTAAACTATTCACCCACGATCTACCATGATTTCCATTCTCTGTACATGGGTGACACATGTCACTAGGATGGCAAGGGTCAGGGGCACGTTCATCCAATTTCTTCGGAGGGCAGTTTTTCACCGTGGCTATAAATACCCCGTCTGTTCCTCAGTCCTCATTTACTCCGCTCGACCTCTCCTTGCTCGACCTCTCAAACCTAGCGCCACCGCTACACTCCATCGTCGCCGATGAGGAAGCGCTTCACTGCCTCGACCTCGTCGTCGTCATACTAGCGCCGGTCGCAGAAATCTTCACTCCGCCGCCACTGTAGGTGTCTCTCACCACCAAGTTAGGGCATGGGAGATCTGAACGGACGAACTTCTCCACTTCAACTCCCAGATCATCGTGTTCTTCATCCAGGGTAATTAAAAATCTGATTTTACTGCCCTACTTTGATTATGATGATTTCCACAAAATCTTCTAAAGGTGTTTATTCTTCAACTTCCGTATCCTTAAACACCCAGTTGCATCTGTCTTTGATTTGTTTCTCTAAGCTATGTCTTTCCTCAAGATTCCTCAATTGTGTGGATTGCCAAATCTATACAACTCTGGAACCTAAGTTAAGAATGCTTAGTGAAATTCCTCAAGACTCCCATGGTCAAATTCCTCAAACTTGATACTTTTGAAAAATTTCTAAGAACGCATATGACCTCTCCAAAATTCTTCACACCTATACTCTATTCATAGGTACAAAATGTGTGCTGCTGAATCACTAGGTTCTCATTAACTTAATTCATTTGCAGCGTTCCTCGAAGATAAATTGCATACTTCTTCAGAAACATCAATTGTTCAAAATCCTCAAGTGAAGAAAATGGCTGATGGTAAAAGACCTCAGAAGAGAGGAAATATACCAGAGACAAACACTGCTTTTGAAATCCCTGATGACATTTATGTTGAGTATCACACACCTGATGAAGCCTCACATGGCAAAGAAAACAAGAATCAGCGCAAAGTGCGCATACAGAGGATTGAAAGAAGATGGGCTAAGGAATGGAGGGAATATCGTTATGTTACTCCCAAGTACATGAAGAAATTCGCAGTTAACCCTCCATGTCCAAGACCTCCATTGGCACCAGGCCAAGTAGCTGATCCCTCAAGCATCAGACGGGGTGAGGAATTTCCCAAAGAATGGGCCAAGTGCCAAGCCAAGTTGGCTAAATTAACAAGGAAGTAGTGAAGAAATTCAATGAAGATTTTGCTGCTGCTGCTGAGGCCTCTACTAGCAAGCCTAAAAAGGCTTTGCCGAAGAAATCGGCTATGAAGCCAAGTTCCTCAACAGCAATGCCCTCATGGCCAATTGGCCAATTCCTCAGGCAACCTCTTCAAGGGCAACTCCAATTGCCTTTGTTGCCACAAAATTTGCAAATGCCGCTTGATACGTCTCCAACGTATCTATAATTTTTGAATGTTCAATGCTGTTATATTATCATTCTTGGATGTTTTATAATCATTTTATATCATTTTTGGTACTAACTTATTGACATAGTGCCAAGTTCTAGTTGTTGTTTTCTGCATGTTTTTTAGATCGTAGGAAATCAATACCAAATGGAGTCCAAACGCAGCGAAACTTTTTGTGGGATTCTTTTGGACCAGAAGACATCCAGTGGGCCAAAGAAGCACCTGGGGGGTGCTCCGAGGGGAGCACAACCCACCAGGGCATGCCTGGAGGCCCAGGCGGGCCTAGGTGGGTTGTGCCCACCTCGGGTGCCCCCTGAACTGCCTCTTTGCTCTATAAATACCCCAATATTCCAGAAACCCTAGGGGAGTCGACGAAAATCAATTCCAGCCACTGCAAGTTCCAGAACCACCAGATCCAATCTAGACACCATCACGGAGGGGTGCATCATGTCCATTGGTGCCTCTCTGATGATGCGTGAGTAGTTTTTTGTAGACCTACGGGTCCGTAGTTAGTAGCTATATGGCTTCCTCTCTCTTTTTTGATTCTCAATACAATGGTCTCTTGGAGATCCATATGATGTAACTCTTTTGCGGTGTGTTTGTTGGGATCGGATGAACTTTGAGTTTATGATCAGATCTATCTTTTTATCCATGGAAGTTATTTGAGTTTCTTTGATCTCTTATATGCATGATTGCTTATAGCCTCATATTTCTTCTCTGATATTTGGGTTTTGTTTGGCCAACTTGATCTATTTATCTTGCAATGGGAAGAGGTGCTTTGTAATGGGTTAGATCTTACGGTGCTTGATCCCAGTGACATAAGGGGAACCGACACGTATGTATCATTGCTATTAAGGAAAACAAGATGGGGTCTATTTCTACATAAATAGATCTTGTCTACATCATGTCATCGTTCTTATTGCATTACTCCATTTCTCCATGAACTTAATACACTAGATGCATGCTGGATAGCGATCGATGTGTGAAGTAATAGTAGTAGATGCAGACAGGAGTCGGCGTCGGTGTACAAAAGTAGGGGCCTTTCTGTACCCCTTTACTTGTGCATGGGCAGTCGTAGCCACACCTGCAGCCGAGCTTGGCGGGGTTGAAGAAGGAAAGATGCAAGACTGCCAAGGTAGTACTCAAGCCAGAAGCATGAAGAGCAAAGAGACAAGATGGACGTCCCCCGGCAAGATCCTTGCCGGACGGCCTACATGGCCCTGGCAAGAGACTCGCCGGGGAAACTTGTCCAACACCAGCAAGACCACCACCCTTGAGCCTGAGAGTTATGACGCCATCGACAACATCAAGACCAAGGCTCGGGAGCGCTTGCATGGTGGCATGCAGATCTTTGTGAAGCTCAAACGCCTGCAAGCCTAGATAAGAACCAGAAGACGAAGACCCCCGACAAGATCTTGCCGGGGATGACCGAAGACCTCCAGCAAGACCCTTGCTGGGGATGCTCGGAAGCCCCCCAGCAAGACCCTTGCCAAGGATGCCCACGAGATCCCGGCAAGGCCCTTGCCGGGGGCGTCTGCAGGGCCGAGGCCAGGCCTGCACTTGCCAGAGTTTCGCTGCCCCACACCCGTTCTGATGTGGCGGCCCGCCCGCCAACTAGGCGAACGCCTGCGTGGCAGCATGCAGCTTCTAGGCCAACCAGCCAAGCACCTGCGTGGTGGCATGCAGATCTTCGAGAAGACCCTGCCATCGCACCAGCTCAGCAGCCAGCCAGCATGGCGCTGCAAGCCTCGTTAGCTTGGATGCACGTCAGAGCGAGGCAAGGCGGCGACGGACATGACGAGCTTCTTTGCCATCCCCAATAAAGCAAGAGGGCACGTCGGCAGCGCATTAAATGTGTTTGTCCTACGGTACCAGGCGATAGACTTGTACATTGTACATACTTTCCACCTCCTGTGTGCCACCGTGGCAACCCCTTTTGACATATAAAAGGAGGCCCGAGGCGTACTGAGGAAGGGTTCAAACTTTTTGGACCAGGCATGCACCTCAGCTAGTTCAAGAGCTCAAGAACACTGAATACACAAAAAGTAGGACTAGGGTTTTATGCATCGTTTGTGGCCCGAACCGGGGTAAAAATCACCCCGTGTTGATTTTCTAGACCCGCTCTTTGCACAGCCCCACGCCCCGCCAACCGTAGAGGGACTCCTCGAGGGATCCCATAGGTGTTGTTCTGTAGCGACCCGACCTCAAACGGTCAAGTCTCTGTGCTTCAGTGTCATTCCTGGATCGGTAATGCTGACACACACAGTACTCGAATGATTTATAACAGAGTAGCAATCACACACTTATTACATCGAATGTCTCAAAAGAGAACTTATTACAATAAATATGGCTTAAGGCCATCTAATATGATAACAGTGGAAGGCTTGGAAGATAAAGTGAGTCCATCAACTCCAATGGCATAGCTGAGCTGCACGGCAACGACCTAACGAACCTTACTCCTCGTCTGAAAAGTCTGCAACATAATACGTTGCAGCCCAAAAACGGCTCAACACATGGAATATGCTGGCAATATAACACAGTAGAGCAAGAACTGAATAATGCTATCACTACATGCATATTTGGCTGGTGGAAAGCTCTATGGTTAAAGTTTTGCGAAAAGCCAATTTTTCCCTACTGCAAAGGAATATATTTTATTTGGGGTTTTATCACTTTTGCTACTTGTTGTGCCACACTACTCACTTTTTGCCATTAAAATGTTTCACTGCTAAAAAATACCACTCTTCCATTAGAGACACACTCAAAAATGCCATTTTTCTCACGTTACCGCCAGTCAAAGGCTCATTGACCACGTGATATGACCATAATACCCCTGATTCCATTACATGTGGGCTCATTTGTAAAGAGCAGGAAAAGAAAAGCGAGCAGGAAAAGAAAATCAATAGGGGAGAGTGGGGGATCGAACCTCGCGCATTCAATCAGGGCGGCTAATACACGCGCGCTTAATAACCATCCAGGAAGACGCACTTATCTGTCAATTATAAAGATCTTTAACTTGTAGTCCATTCGGGTTGACCTGACTAAGCTATCGATTATACAAATCCTATCACCAAACCACTCATACCTTTCCCTATCCATTAGCAGCCGCAGCCACAAACCGCTGCCGCCGCCGCCCGCCAAACTCCTCCATTCGGGTACGGCCGATCGCCGGCGCGGCCTACACAGCTCTGGCGCGGCCTACGTAGCTCCGGCGCGCCTCCACTCGCCGCAGCGCCGACGCCTCCCGCCCTGCGCACCTCCCTCCCCGCAGCTCCGATGCCTCCCACCCTGCGCACCTCCCTCCCCGCAGCTCCGACGCCTCCCGCCCTGCGCACCTACACTCGCCGCAGCTCCGGCTTCCCTCCCGAGCAGCATCGCCACATGACTTCCATCTGACTCCTCTGTTCTTCCTCCGCCTGTGATTTCTTGAACAGAGGTTGTTCCACGACAATGGAGACAGACAACAGGTCCGAATCAGAGGCTTGCCTCGGCCACCAGATGGCGCTAAGTGTACAGGTCGCAACCTCTAATATTCTAGCAAGGTGAGTATGCTAATTACTAGGATGATGCGTGTGTATTCATAGCAGTATGTAGCGGTCGAATTTGTTGTGTATAATTCATAGTGACTAACTACACACAATTTGATTATGTGTTCATGATGATTTAGGATGGATGAGGAAACTGCTTGTATGCTGTCTGTTAGGATGGAAACAAGTCGTCTTAGTAGCGATGGCCGCAAGCGACATGTTGGCGGCTTTGATTATCCTCTGTTTGTCGAATCCAGTATCACATACAAAACATTGTTGTGCAAGTTGTGTGATACCTATCCCTGGGGGTGCCGTGATTCTCTGGAGTTGAAGTACTATGAGAGGGAACAAAATATATGGGTTGATGTTGCATGTGATGATGATGCAGCTTTGATGTTTGGAAAGTATCAAGATTCAAAGAAAATATCTATGCTAATTGAGGTTCTACAGAAATCTCCAACTCCCAGCACACCGAACCGCAATCCACCTACATAGCCTTCTTATAGTGAGAGTCAACATACAGGGAGTCAGGCAATTGATGTTGATATAGTCAACATACAGGGAGTCAGGCAATTGATGTTGATATAGTCAACATACAGGGAGTCAGGCAGTCTACTAGTATTGATGATCCTAACAGAGACATAACCAATGATGCTATTCCTGATGATGCTATACTCTCAGATAATGATGATGAGAGGGAGTATCCTGACTTAGTCAAGAAGTCTACGAAAGAAGATGATTCAAAAGATATAGAAGAGGAAGATGATCCTCCAGCATATGAATCCACTGACACTGAAGAGAAAGAAGAGAATAGAGACATGGGTTTAGTAGACGAGGAGGAAGAGGAGGAGGAGGAGGAGGATAGACCTATTGTAGTGTATAATAAGGAGGATCCATCATTTGTAGAAGGATCGGCATTCCCCTCTTTGTTGGATTGCAAGAATGCACTTTCGACTGTTGCAATTAAAAGTGAATTTGACTATACGGTCCAAAAGAGTGATCCTAATAGGCTGAGAGTTTGTTGTGCATATAAGAGGTGTAAGTGGAGGATACATGGCTCTTATATGAGGAATAGCACAATATTTCAGGTATAACTTGGTAATATCTAATTGATTTGATTGGTGTACCCTTTCTTTTATGCAATTGGTAGCAATACAATTTGATTTTTATGTTTTGTGAATGCAGATCAAGGTGTGTCCTTTCTCTCATACATGCCCAACTAAGCTGAGAAGTGACAAGTTCAAGCCGGCTAAGAGTAGGTGGGTTGCTGATGTTATCCTAGATTGGGCTAGAAAGAACCCAGACATTGGCCCTACTGCTCTTCAAGAGAAGATCGAGGAGAAGTATCACTTCACGGTGTCGTACATGCGTGTATCTCGTGGTAAGGAGAAAGCAATGGATATGATTAGTGGAAAATGGAAAGATAGCTTCTATCTTCTCTATAGTTTCAAGGCTGAGGTGGAGAAGTGTTCTCCTTGTAGTGTAGTGGAAATAGACAAAGAGACTGTGAAGTACTCAATCAAAGGAAAAGTCAGGGAGAAGGAATGCTTTAAGAGAGTGTTCGTTTCATTCAAGGCATGTTGGCAAGGGTTTTTAGATGGGTGTCGATCATACTTGGCCGTGGATTCAACTGCACTAAACGGGAGATTCAAAGGGCAGTGAGCTTCTGCTTGTGCCATTGATGGCCGTAATTGGCTTTACCCGGTTGCCTATGGGGTGATAGAGACAGAATCATCAGATAGTTGGGCTTGGTTTCTTCAAAATCTATGTAATCTTATTGGCATCCTGAAGGACTAGTCATACACACCGACGCTTGTAAAGGTTTAGAGACAGCAGTAGAACAAGTGTGGCCTGGAGTGGAGCATAGGGAGTGTATGAGGCATCTTGTTGCAAATTTTGGAAAAAAATTCAAGGGCAAGGTCTATGATGATAATCTTTGGCCAGCAAGCTTGACTTACAGTTCTAGGAAGCACAATTGGCATATGAAGCAGATCCTTCCTAAGAAGAGTGTTCAAAAATATATGGCTGAACACCACACAAAGATATGTTATAGAAGCAAGTTCAATGAAATCTGCAAGGTTGACTACGTCAATAACAACCTCACAGAGTCATTTAATAGCAAAGTCAGGAAAATTAAGGCTCTTCTTATTGTTGACATGTTGGACAAGATTAGGCAGATGATAATGGAGAAGTTTGATTTGCGGATGAGGATAGCATTAGAAAAATGGTTTGGCCAACTCATAATACCAAGTGTGATAAAGGCACTACATGCCAAATCCAAAGGTAAACAAACATCTTCTGCTCTTTCAATCGACTAATGTCATAACGAACTAAATTAAATGTTTAATATTTGGTGTTCTTTCCAGGACTAAAGATGAAGGTAGTTAGATGCAGTGATGTTGAGGCAGAAATTACTGCAGTCGACAAAGAAAATAGGGAATGGAGTACCTTGTTGACATAGCCAAGGAAACATGTAGCTGCAGGCAATGGCAAGTCAAGGGTTTGCCATGTATCCATGCTCTATATTTCATTACTTCACTAAGAGGTCTGGTATCAAAAACTGAACCTTATGTACATGAGTTCTACTCAGTAGCAAAATTCAAAGCTGCGTATGCAGACAACATACCTGCAATGTAGGCAAGCAACAATGGGACATTGTTGACCATGGCTTCAAACTACAAGCTCCAGTGTTCACTACAAGAAATATGTCAACTTGTGACCACCACTATTGGTCACTGAAAGGTCATGGTTTTTCATTTGCGACCTTTTTGTGACCAAAAACAGAAGGTCAAAAGCTGGCGGTCATAAACTGACTATAGCGACCTTTCTTCTGAAATGGTCAAAGACGTTTATGACCAAAATACGTCTGATGTGGCGTTTTGGTCACTAGCAACCTCCCTAGGCCACGTAGGCATCCCGCGTGGCAATCTGACATGGCACAAGATTTAGCCCGGTCCAATTCGATTTTCTACATGGGCCTAGCCCAACAATTCGGCCTTTTTAATGTATTTTTTTCCTATTAATTTGGTTGACTACATGGGCCAAGCCCACATTTTAGCCTTTTTATCTTTTTTTTTCAAATGAGTCCAGCCCAATGTTTTCCAGGTTTTTCTTTCCTGGGCCTTGGCCTTTCCACATTCATTTATTTTCGTTTTACTTTTTTACCCAAAATATTTGTCCAATATAATTGATCCTTAGCCTCTTTAAGGTCCAACTCCAGACCATTTAAAGAAAATTTTCAAACCAGTTTGAATAACAATATGAATCAAGTTACCACGAATTAGCTGAATATTACGGAAATATCTCAGAACACACATTCTACAAATTTCCATCACATACGTACAGATTCAAGCAACCTACAACATGTTGTAGTCAAGCATTCAGGTGCGGGAATACTCTAGAACATGAAGAATAAATAGAACAAGCCTATCTAGTGCTTCACGACAAGAAAACATTGTAATCTGCTTCTTCAAGTACTGATTCTTCCTTTTGCAAAACATCTGGACATTCAAAAGAGAACAAAAAGTATGTCATTGATAGAAGAAATATTACACGGATACTTTTAATATAAAAACTAAAGACACACCAATATTTTATCATTCTACTTATTATTATTTTAACAAGCTCATTCTACTTATCTGGAATAGGCATATTCATCAAAACAGGGAATTGAATTGGCACATATGACAAACTTAGCAAGAAATAACCATTGAATGTTTCACATACACGACAAGGTTTAAAAACGATCATTCAAAGTTACAACAGATCAAAGTTCCATTTGAGTATAAGGAACAATACTCATATTCAATCAATAAGCAACTATGTCAAAATTAATTCAGATTTACTAATGTTTGTGTCAAATGATACATGTAATAGGACAGTGGCGTTAATACTAATCAGGTTACTCAATCATAAGGCATGTGAGCAGGATTGATGAATATGGCATGAAAAACCAGTAATGTGAAACTGGACATACAGGAAGAACACAAACAAAGTAAAATTGTTTAAGAAAGGGCAAATGGGCAACTTTGACACATCAGGGTCAGTATATTTCCTTGGAAATATACTCACAGCCCTGCAAATAACAATGTGCATCAAACAAGAAACCACCAGAGATAAAGCATCTAGAGAAACCGAATATGGTGTCCACTTTATTCTACAACATCATCATCAGGATTAAAACAACATATGGATATTCAGTGCTGGATTAGACCATATATTGTACCAAAAGAAAAAAAAATAGTTGTTACAACCAAAGAACTAATGGGGCTTTGGCAATCATTCAGCAATTCCCATCTAGCCAGCAGCAATACCACTAGTACTTAACCAGAGTCAACAAGCAGTAAGCAACAGAACCAGCTAGTAGATACAAGCAACACACTCTAAAGAGGAATTGATTTTGATGTCAATTTCTAGTTTACCAAAAGAAACTGACATATGTAGCATCAAGGAACATCTGCAGCTGCAGCATCGATTTGATTGTGAGGAAATTTGTGAAGGGGAATGGGTGAGACAGTGTAGTGGGGAGAGAAATCTCAAGTACCTCAACTCAGCGGCATTAGGAACGGACGACGACAGCATCCTGTGCCGGCGTCCCTTGTACGACACCAGACACGGCTGCGTCGCTGCCAACAGAGGGCTCTCCCGGCGCGCGACCATCAAGGAGGAGGTGAGCAGGCCCGGCTCGATGCCGTAGATGGGGGAGTGCGGTCAAAGATGGCGGAACTGGCGACGCAGCTGATCTGGATATGGATCGGCGGTGGGATACCTACATCAAGATTCAAGAATCAAGGTTTCATCAGTAAATCATAAGAAAGAAAATCTCAAGTCAAGTTTTCCTAAATCAACTAGACTTCACTGTGTAGGTACTACCAAGTACCAACAACTTAAATGGCTAAGTACCACGCTTTAGTTCTACATCTCTACAGTTCTATATTTACCAACCCAATATGCCCAATTTCCCACGGACCGATTCACAGTTATTATAACTTACAGGTTAAGCCTAGGGAATCAAAGGAAATACACATCAGAAATGCTAGGTACATGTTAGGGTCAGCACTACAATGTTTCACACTTATTTTGCACCAAAAACCATAGGAGGTTTGTTGTACTCGATTAGGAAATAGTGACAATGGCGGAGTGAATAATTTCATCTGTGCATATACTAGGATGACTTTGTGAGGTACTAGCACACACAAAGCACTAGTTTACCAATCAGGCTATCGCTGCTTGAAATGAAGAGGCTTCACTGACAAGGTACAAACAAAATAATAAATACCTAACTGTCAAGCTACAGCTCTACATTTCTACATGTTCTCAAGCAGAAAAAATCTTTTTGTGTGCACTGCGTGCCTACTCCGGCCTCCTTACATTGCAGATCAACTCCCCATGGAAACCACCAGCTGCCAGGAGGTTGTCTTTCACCGTCATGGTGCTGATCTTCACCCTGGACAAGGGCCGACCTCCCTGCATATCCTGCACAGTGTGGTCGCACAGTGGATCAGAGATTGACCGACATTCTGATGATGCAGGACTATCACATCGCTCTGTGGTAGATCACCTGATTTGGGCCTGCCACGTTGAGCACTTCTTTTCCTCTCCGGAGTAAGGACGACCAATGCCTCACAGAATAGTTCTGCATCACGTACACATCATGCTTGGAAGTAGCCCACAGGAGGTTCCTCAGCTGCACATGTACAAGTATACGGTCAGTGCGTTCGTACCAGAATTCTTCTTAAAACTCAGCAGAAATACAATGATGCAAATGAGCGCCATTTTATTCAAGCACACCAAATTCTACTGCGTTAACAAACAAGCATGAACACTTAACCAATTAATCAACATATATACCCAACCATTCGTCCAAATTAAATAAGACATAAATTAGCTACATAATTGGAGTTAGCTTATCTTAATCAGGGCCAATCAAGCTAGGATCCATAACATGAAAAGGAACTTGAATTAATTGCTGACACACATAGTATTCCTTTGTCCCTCGTCAGCTAGCTGCAAACAAAGGCACCACGCACGAACGCTTTCCGTCTTGTTACCTTTACCGACTAACGTTTAACTGTAGATTCTCCTAGCAATCTAGCTACCTTGTCCCCCCTGCCCTAATCATAGAAGATCTCCAAGTGCTAGACCAAATAATTCTCGAGGCAAACAACTACAGGTGTCAAGGAATTAAGGTGGATGACAAATTCATCACACCTGAATCTGAAACAAATTCCTTGACTGACTGACTTGACTGAACATACATCCATGCATGTATCACTTGAGCTAGCATGCACCAACCAGTGTGTAACTAACCAACTACTCCAGCTAATTAACTTCAAGCATGAACAATTAACCAATTAAACAAGACAGAAACTAGCATAATGATTTATAAACAAAATGGGAAGTAAGCAGACGTGACCTGGAGGTCGTTGGAGAGCTCGGGCATGACCTGGAGGTACTTGGTCTTGTCCTTGAGCCCGGCCATGGCCACCTTCTTCCCCCTCTCGTCCCCGAACACGAACACACACACCTTGCACACCTGCGAACACAAACCGGAGCAGAGACAAGGAACTCAGCATCCCAGATTGCAGCGCAGCCGCATCGTTTCGAGGGAGAGTCCGGGCGTGACCTGGAGGTCGTTGGAGAGCTCGACGTCGGTGATGGTGGTGGGGGAGGAGAGGTAGCGGTTGGCGCCGAGGGCGGCCTCGGGGAGGACGGCGCGCTGCATGACGGGGTCGCGGGTCAGCATGTCCGCCAGCTCCCGCTGGATCTTCTTCGCCACCATCCGCACCCGCCGCTCCTTGGCCATGCACCGCACCACGCGCAACCGCCGCACAGAGACGGGCGCCTCGGCGGCGAGGGCCCGCGGCAGCGGTGGGGACACCAGCGGCCGGCACGGGAACATCCTCGCTGGCTTCATGGTGGTGGGGGATTTTGCGCCACGGTGAGGCCGTTGGCCATCGCTGTGGGGAGTGGGAAGGGGAGGGGCGAGAGGAGGAGGGCGTGGGGAACGGCGACGAGCTCCGCCGGAGGGAGGTGGTAGCGGCGACACGAGACAACGAGGAAACGGGGGATCTGGATGGTGGAAGGAAGGGTGGCCAGCACTGGGGGCGATGAAGAGGTCGGCGGCGGCGGGGGTGGGGAGGTCGGCGGCGGGGGTGGGATGGCAGAGAGATGGAGGTCTGGGTCGGGGAGAGGGGGATCTGGGAGGAGGTGGTGGCGGCGAGGAGCTGAGGGAGGAGGAGTGCGGGTGCGGGTTAGGGTTTGGGCTGCGGATGGATGGCTGGATGGAGAGGTGGAGAGTTGGAAGGATGGATGGGCGCCATGTCATCGATCCGTGTGACAACTAAACCCACCAATGAGAATAGAGCACATATAATTGTGTTTTTCCTTTCGTTTTTCTTCTACTTTTACACATGAAAAAAATTCAAAAAAACGGTCTCACATTATGCATATGTTTGTATCTTGAATGGAAAACAATGTTGCCTAAGAAATTTTTCATTTTCGTTGCATGAAATATTCATTTTCCATTTCTCGAGTGCCTAAAATAAGTTTTTTTGTGAAGGGCCTACCAAATATTTGTTGCAAAATTGGACCAAATCAATTTTCTAAAATATTAGGCCATATTTAATGCACAATTGATCAAATGGTTGGGTTTCAAAAGGTTTTATCCACCTCTCGTGAAAAAGAGAAATTTTCACCGATTCAGCGGGAAGCGAGTCAAATTTGAACTGCAGCTACCTCATAATTTGCTCTTTATTTTTTCCAAAAATCATTTCTAGGTACATAAATATCTATTTAATAAGAGAAACACCAAAAGTTTGCCAAGGTTCAACCACTAGCTAAGAACGGTCATGCCCGCCATTTTGACCGCATTTTGAAACGGGCATAAAAATTTCAAAAAAAATCAAAAAATTGGAAAACCTTCGCATTATGTCATCATATGTGACCAAGTTTCCAGGAAAAACAATAAACTTGTAATAAGCCAATTATTTTAAAAAAGTGTTCTCAGAACCGAGCTATCACGTGTGGAGATCAATGGCTTTCAAGCCAAATGATCAATCTTATGGCCACATTCATGGCATAGTTTGTTCAAATGATCTCATATTGTGCACAAGGGTGCATATTGGAATGGCAAATAATGTTGCCTAAGGAAGTTTTCATTTTCTTTGGACGGAAGAACCATTTTCCATTTTTCGAGTGCCCAAAAGGAGGTTTTTTTGTGAAGGACCTCCCAAATAATTGTTGCAAAATTGAACCAAATCATTTTTCTAAAATACTAGGACATATTTAATGCACAATTGACAAAATGGTTGGGGTGTAAAAAGTTTTGATCCACCTCTCGTGAAAAAGACAAATTTCCACCGATTCAGCTGGAAGCGGGTCAAATTTGAACTGCAGCTGCCTCATAGTTTGCTATTTTTTTTTCCAAAAATCATTTCTATGTACATAAGTGTCTATTTAATCAGAGAAACACCAAAAAAATTCCAAGATTCAACCACTAGCTAGGAATGGTCATTCCCGCCGTTTTGACCGCATTTTGAAACGGGCATAAAAAATTCAAAAAAAAACTAAAAAATTGGGAAACCTTCGCATTGCGTCATCATATGTGGCCAAGTTCCCAGGAAAAATAACAAACTTGTAATACAACAATTATTTTAAAGAAGTGTTCTCAGAAACGAGCTATCACGTGTGGAGATCAATGGCTTTCAAGCCAAATGATCAATCTTACGGCCACATTCATGGCATAGTTTGTTTAAATGATCTCATATTGTGCACAAGGGTGCATATTGGAATGGAAAATAATGTTGCCTAAGGAAGTTTTCATTTTCTTTGGACGAAAAAACCATTTTCCATTTTTCGAGTGCCCAAAAGGAGGTTTTTTTGTGAAGGACCTCCCAAATAATTGTTGCAAAATTGGACCAAATCATTTTTCTAAAATACTAGGACATATTTAATGCACAATTGACAAAATGGTTGGGTGTAAAAAGTTTTGATCCACCTCTCGTGAAAAAGACAAATTTCCGCCGATTCAGTTGGAAGCGGGTCAAATTTGAACTGCAGCTGCCTCATAGTTTGCTATTTATTTTTCCCAAAAATCATTTCTAGGTACATAAGTACCTATTTAATCATAAATACATGGTTTGGTGGCAATACGTCGAGGTTTGGGCAGTGGCCGAGGGCCCCAACTCTAGAGCGCGTAAACTCGCATGCCCGCCGCGTGGTCACCGCGTGACCCTGGCATTGCCATGTGTTCTGGGTGGCATAGGCATGTCTAGTGGGTTGGGCACTCCCCAGGTAGGTGCTAGGAAGAAAATTACAACATAAGATTCTCATGAGGAGACCGATCGATGCTCAAACATGAATTAGCAGCCAAGTGTTTGATTAGCGGTACGGGAAATGTACATGGCTAATGGGCGTGAGTTTTGGCTGAGGATGATCAGTTACTAAGAAGGACATCTTCACAAATTTTTAGCTCAAAAGGAGGAGCCTAGGTGGTACTTGCTTTGCAAACTGCCACACTGGACATAACTACGAATGTTGAAGCTCGGCTGAAAATAATGAATGGATTGAGCTGGTATTTGTTGGAGGATGGTTATTTGGGCATAGGAAAGCACTGTAGAAAATGGATACTATTTGGACATGCCAAAGTGGTACTTCCTTCACAAACTGTTGTTCTGAACAGAATAGGAAAATGAA